GCATGGTGGTTAAGATGCTGGATACTCCCATATGGCCAACCATGGTCTGAGTCTTGGACCCGGTGGTTTGCTTTCTCACTTTCACTCTCTCTTGCTCTCTCTCTCTCGTGTGTGTGTGTGTGTGTGTGTGTGTGCGGTCAAATTAAAAGAAATGAATAAATGAATGAATAAAATAAAATAAATAATTATATATTAAAAAATAAAATTATTTATTTACTTAATTATTTTAATTTGACCAGAGAGGGACAGAGTGAGAGAAAGAGAGAGAGAGAAAGTGATAAAGCAAGCCACCATGCCCAGAACTCAAACCACAGTCAGCCATGTGGGAGTCCAGCATCCTTAACCACCCTGCAACCTGCCAACCCCATGTTTCTGAATTTTTTTCAACAACTTAAAAATGTAAAAGCTGGGGCCAGCTGGTGGTATGGTAGTTAAGGCACTGGATGCCCATATGGCCACTGGCAATTTGAGTTCTATACCTGGTGACTTGCTTTCTTACTTCTCCTTTCTTACTCTCTGGTGAGCACACGTGCCCTAAAGCAAATTAATAATAATAATTTAAAAAAATAAATAATTAATTCTTTTAAAAAATGTAAAAGCCATTCCTGGCTTGCAGACTACAGAAACAGGTGATGGGCTTGAGTAGGTTTATAGGCAATTGTTTGCTAACTTCTCCAATTACAAAAGCAGAGGAGTGAAACATTAGCTTGGCTATTTTAATTCAGTTTTCTAACTTTACAGGTTTTCTTTCTTTCTTAAAAAGAATTATTTATTTCATTTTATTTATTATTATTAATTAATTAATTATTTTATTTATTATTATTTAATTTGATGAGAATTATTTATTTCATTTTATTTATTATTATTATTTAATTTGATGAGAGACAGAGTGAGAGAGAGAGAAAGAGAGCACAAGGGAGAGCAATAGAGAGAAAGGGAATGTGAGAAAGCAAGTCCCCAGATCCAGAACTCAAACTGTGGTTGGCCATGTGGGAGTCCAGCACCTTAGCCACCACGCCACCTGCCAGCCCTGTAACTTCACAGGTTTTCTTGAGGGAGCATTTCTGAAATAGCAAGCAAAACCAATTCTTTTGATCTCTGTTTTGAACTCATTCTTTCTTGGCTTATGTAATGTTAGCTTCATTTGGTTTGGTGTAAGAATCCTGTAGAAGACTGCTGTAAGATTTTGTACTTGAAGCAATGCATTTAGTGGTTCTGTAGGTGTGCAATCTCTAAACCCAGGGAGAGAGATAATGATTCCGGGGAGAAGCAGTTTAAAAACAGTTCTAATTGTTCAGGCAAGCTATTTTTACCAGACTTTAGAGGACAGATATATGATCACATTGTTATTATTTTTATAGATTTTATTTCAAGAAACTTTTCTGTTAAGAGTCATTAAATACCAAGTTTTAATTTCACTCACTCAAGGAGAAATTTCTATTGCAATAGATTTTTTTTTCTTGATAATTTACTATAGAAGACTATATCTCAGGGCTTTCAGGCTTATCATTTGAGAACTAGTTTTGGCACTTAAAAGGTACATGTTTCAGCTAAAAGGTTGTGAAAGTAGGAGAAATAGAGGGGAATGGGAACTCTAAGAAACTTTTGATTTAACTTATAATTACTATATTAAACAATGTATTACAGGTAATATAGTGTGTATAAAAATGTTACCGATATGGACTGGCTTCTTAGATTGGGTGCTACATAGGGGACACTGGACTCCATCTGGCTGACCAAGGTTTGAATCTGGGTCCCCTTGGCTTAAAGGATAGTTGGACATGTGTTTGTAGGCTTGTCCAGGATCCTGATGGGATGGAAAGCTGGAGAAAGGATTATAACTGACTAGGTCTCATGAGTGTTTTTCTCACTTGTCTCTTTCTCTCATGTGCCCTCACACACCTTTTGGCATTAAATATAAAAACACTATTATAAAATTAGTGTGGTGACAATAACTAAAATATATTACTGTCATGGAGAAGAGTTTTCATGGTGTCTACGTAGTGAAATTTGAAGTCAGGTTGATGGGTGCAGTAAGTGAATGTCTACTGTGTACTTAGACATTTTACACATTTTCTCTTACCTAATCCTTATTGTAAGATAAGGAAATTGAGACTCAGGGAGGCCGAACATCTTGCTCGAGGTCATGTAGTTAGTAAGTGCTAGAGAGAGATTTCAGACCTAGGTCTTATCTTGTAGAATCCTCTTTATGCCTCTATGTTGTAACCACTTCTAGACACAGGTATTATATCTCAAGGACAACTTGGTTTTGAAGCACTCCCTGATTCTAATACTGATATGTGCCATTCTGTGTGACACGAGGCTGGTGGCACCATTGCTTTTATGACTAATCTTGAAACTGACCTAACCAAACCATCGATGTGAAAGTGCTTCTACCTCTTCCCTGAGAGAATTTATAGCTGAATTCCCAACTACCCTCTAACATAAAACAAAACTATTTATTTAAGAATATGTGGTGAATTGAAGAAGGTTACATTTCTGAGACATGCATTAATCTGCACATTTGTGTCTATGTGCCTTTTTTGGAGGGAGTTTCTAATTTCATATTAGATTCTGGAGATGTGTGGATACACTGCTCTCTAAACTTCAGCTGGAACAAATTAGGAATATATCTGTCTGACTTGTGTTATTGACAAGTGGATTTTTTTTAATGATTTTTAAAAATTTATTATTATCATTATTTAAAATTTGACCAGAGAGAGAAGGAAAGTGAGAAAGCAACCTGCGAGCTCTAGGACTTTAACTATGGCCAGCCATGTGGGAGTCCAGTGTCCTAAGAACCATGCCACCTACCAGCCCCAAGTGTTTATTAATTATGTTCAATTCCATTAGAGAAAATGAAATCAGATTAATTGTAGCCCCACAATAGTCTGAGATAGCACTGTTATTCCACATGTTACACTGGGCAGACTCCTCCCGGGACTCAGCATTGGTTTCTTTTTACATATTTATGACCAGCTCCTGAAACAGAGCACTGCAACTGGAAGTCCTCAATAACTGATTGCTGGTTGCAGGGAATGAGTTTCCCTGTATAAACTGTGTAACGGTAATTTCAGGCCCTGGAAAGATCATAACAGCTAGCCATACACAGTGAAACTTTTGCATCCAAAGCCTGTCATTCCCAGCTGTAGTACCTTCCTCAAACCCCTGCTGGCCTGTGTCTTCTTCTGTAGCAAGATTGTCAGCTACAGGATGGATAAAATTTCTCTGCACTTCCCCAAATCCTAGGAGTCAATCATATCTGCAAACCCAAAACAAGACAATAGCAATCGATTGTAAGAGGCTAATTCTAACTCTATTGTAAATTGCTTATCTTAGAGCCTCCTTGTGAAAGCTCTGATTCACAAACCTGGGTTACTTTGATAACATCCTCTGGTCAAGAACTGTTGAGAAGTAATATTATCAGGGCTCCAGTTTAGTGGTGGGGACAGTTGCTGGGAGGAAGGGGGCGTAGTGATTTTCTTGACTTCCTTGTTTGGAGTAAACTTTGGCAGCATCTGATGTCTAAGATATTTGCTTTTCCATCTTCTTGGGAGCTTGTTGGGAGCTCTCTGGCTTGCCAGAGAAAACATATCTAAAAGAATCACGACGCCAAATCACAGTCATTCCCTTGGGTCCCCAAACCTCACCAGACTCCAGAGAGAGAAGGGCGAAGCTGAAATAGAAAACAGAGTGAGCGGGTCAGCGGCTTCCAGGAAATAGCCTGAGAGACAAGGATTTGGGCACCGGCTCACCAGGCCCCATATCTGCACCCTCTGGACTTGGATTGCAGATGGGGCAGTTGCGAAGACTCCCTGTCTCCGCCGTGTTCCTCGTGCATTAGCTGACGCTGGGTCCCCACGCCTGCTGCTGGCGCGCTCCGCTTGCAGCAAGCGGCGGGTCTACGGGTGACAGCGCGCGGTGTGGCCCGGGGAGGGGAGGAAGTCTAGCTCGGATTGCGCGTTCCGCCGGTTGGGAGCTCCCGGGACATAGCCGGCGGAGCAGCCCAGCGGGTCGAGCCATGACGGATGCCAGCAACAGGAAGGAGGGCTTCAAAAAATGCCGGAGCGCCACTTTCAGCATCGATGGCTACAGCTTCACCATCGGTGAGAACTTTCCACCCTCTGCGTGACGCCTGGCTTGGGCAGATACCCTTTCTAGTGGCGGCAAGGGTCCCTTTATAAGCGCAGTAGGAGCGGGGATCCGGGTTGGGGTGGACCCAGTGGGCACTTCCTGGGCATGAGTCCCTGGAACAGCAACAGGGCCCGGGAAA